GTGCAAAGACAACCCTCAGAATGGTGGAAAATAATAGCAAATGAAATAACTGACAAAGGATTAATTTACAAAATACACAAGCAGCTCATGCAACTCAATACCAGAAATATAAACAGCCCAATCAAAAAATGGGCCAAAGACCTAAACAAACATTTCTCCAAAGAATACATACAGATGACTAATAAACACATAAAAAGATGCTCAACATCACTCATTATTAGAGAAATGCAAATCCAAACTACAGTGAGATGTAACCTCACACCAGTCAGAATGGCCATCATCAAAAAGTCTACAAACAATAAATGCTGGGAGGGAGTGGAGAAAATCTTCTCGTGCTGTTGGTGGGAATATAAATTGATACAGCCACTATGAAGAACAGTATGGAGAATCCTTAAAAATCTAGGAATTAAACTATCATATGACCCAACAATCCCACTACTGGGCACATACCCTGAGAAAATCATAATGGAAGAAGACACATGTACCCCAATGTTCACTGTAGCAGTATTTACAATAGCTAGGACATGAAAGCAACCTAGATGTCCATCGACAGATGAGTGGATGAAGTTTTGGTAAATACGTACAATGGAATATTACTCAGCTATAGAAAGGAACACATTTGAGTCAGTTCTAATGAACTGTATAAATCTTGAGCTTACAATTCAGAATGAAATAAGTCAGAAGGAGAAAAACAAATATCATATATTATTGCATATACCTGGACTCTAGAAAGATAATACTGATGAACCTATTTGCAGGGCAGCAATGGAGATGCATACATACAGAACAGACTTGTGGACACAGTAGGAAAAGGAGAGTGTGGGATGAATAGAAAGAGTACCATGGAAACATATATATTACCATATGAAAAATAGATAGCCAGACAGAATTTTCTATATGATACAATGAGCTCAAACTGGTGCTTTTTGACAACTTAGAGTGGCGGGATGGATTGGGAGGTGGGACGGAGGTTCAAGAGGGAGTGGACATATTTATACCTATGGCTGCTTCATATTGTTATATGGAAAAAACCCACACATTATTGTAAAGCAATTATCCTCCAATTAAAAGTAGATAAATAAAAGCCTGGGTCAGCCAGGCTGTGGAGAGACATGGCTGGTCATGCCTGGACCACAGAGAGGCCCGGGGGTCTGGGAGGAGGAGAGCGAAGGATCAGCACGGCCTTCAAAGCTCTCCTGCCTCCACGACCCTGCACTTCCGACACCCTCTTCTCACCTAGGAGGCCTCAGCATCAGGATGGTGGCAGGCAAGCAGATCTTGGAGGATGAAGCAACTCAACAGAGGAAAGGCCACACCCTACAAAGGCAAGTCTGAAATATGCCCAGTAGGGACCACAGTGAGGTGGCAGCTGCTTCTGTTAAGAGAAGAAGCCTGCTTTCCCAGATCCTCCTGCCTCAAGGGTTGTCTTCAGTTCTCCTTGTGTGTGTCTTCCCCCAAGCTGGAGGCGAGTGGGACCCTTAGGTATCTTCCCCTCCCTTCCATAGTAGCCTAACAGGGTGGGAGGGTCTACCTGGCATGATTGTCTGCTCAGTCAAGCTCCTGGCCCATGTGGAGCCGCTTGTGTGGCCTCACCCCTGCAGGAGTCAGGGCTGCCTTAGAATCAGGGTCAGGGGAGCCCCCTCACCTGTGAAGTAGGAACCCTGCAATGTGCACAAACGGCATGTCAGTGTCTCGGGCTTCAGTCTTACTAAAAGCTCAGACATGCAGTGGACACTGTCACACCACCCTTCCTTGGTAGAGTACCCTCTCGGTAGACCCCCAGTACATACGCTCGCTGTGGACGTGCCTATGTGTCCCCTGTGGAAGCCCGAAGGGCCTGAGCCCCCCTTGCCCCCACGAAGGTCAGGGTAGAGAGAGGCAGTCATGCGATCACAGGCAGGCCTCAGAAGCGGTGACACAGTGGCTGAGGGGCAGAGGGGGCCATTCCCCACAGCTCGGTCACCGACCTCTGCCCAGGCCTCGCCCTGCGGGGCCCCCTCAGATGCTAGCTGTGTTCCAAGCTGGTCCTCTAGCCTCAGGGTCAGTCTCACTTCCGATAGACGCCCTTTTTGCTTGTTTCCACAGTCAGGAATCCTGTCTGGGGAGCTGAGCTAATGCAGACTGGGCAGTGTAGAGGGAGGTGTTATTCATGGAACCCCGAACTTCACTCAGTAACTCAGAGATTCTTCAAATGCATCATTCAAGTTTAACTTTGAAGTTTAAACTATTTTTAAATTAAACTGTTAAAAAACAGGGATTTAAACATTTATAACAGTAGGTTACCTTTGGGAGGCACACCTCTGGAGGACTTGAAGCAAGCATGAGGGAACCTTCTGGGGACTGAGAGCAATCCATATCTTATTATGAGCAGTGCTCTGAGAGCACAGGGGTGTGACTACACAACAATGCGGGCGTGCTTAATGCCACGGAACTATCCACTAAAAACTGGTTAGGATGGTAAATTTTACATTATATATATGTTTTACCACAATTTTAAAAAATAGATTAAAACTGAACTCAAAACACTTCTTTAAAATTATTTCAATAAATCAGAGATAAACTAGAGAACAAGCACAGGCATCAATGTTTTAAATCCATCAGGATTTGTACTCTTTACTACCTGTGAATTATATCCCAAATAAAACAACAAAGCAAACAAAAACACTACTACATACCAAATATAATGTTGATAAACCCCAAGCTTCCCCAGTTTCTCAAGGTACAAGATTTATTTCATTTTCTAAAGGACCCAGGACAGCCCCTCCTGCTACAGCTGGATTCTGAGATTTGAGGCAGCTGCTCAAAATCTCCTGGCATTGGCAACCGCATATCTATGTGATTCAGATTATTTTTCCGTTCTGTGGGATGCTGGCATGACAAAATCACAGTGATAGATTACAGATTAGTAGTAGCCAGGATTAGGGAAAGACAGGGAAGGAAAGGGTGATTCAGGGCCAGCCTGAGGGAACTGCTTGCAAGGGACAAACCAGTTTTGCTCCTGATTGTTGAGGTGGATGGATGAATTTACATGTGATAAAATGTCATAGAACAACAAGTAAAAACAAATCCAGAAACAAATGAATGCAAAAATCAGTGNGGGCGGAGAGGGAGGTGGGAGGGGGGACCGGGATGGGGAATACATGTAAATCCATGGCTAATTCATTTCAATGTATGACAAAAACCACTGCAATGATGTAAAGTAATTAGCCTCCAACTAATAAAAATAAATGGGAAATAAAATAAAATAAAATTTAAAAAAATAAAAAATTAAAAAAAATTAAAGCCAGCTCTAAATGACATGAAAGAAAACCATTTCATCAGATGCACACCACTCAAAAATATTGGTGTCCATTTATTTGCATTCAATTTTATTCCTTCATTCAATTAGCAGTGGTGACCCAGCCTCTCTAGCCCTGCTAAAGGACACAACACATGGGTTAAAGCTGTCAGAACTGACTTGTGAACACTGGGAAGGAGTAGACAGTCCTCCAGATGGCATATGCTTTGGCAGTCCTGGCAGTGGACTCCCAGAGGTGGACATACCCCAGTCCTCTACAGTCCCAATCAGACTCAGACGGGCATCAGCTAACCCTCTGTTGAGGCCTACTTCAGGTTGCATTTGTCTAATAATTCCATTATAGAGACAGCTCCCAAACAACAAAGCATTGGTTGGTTAGTTGGTTTTTAACACTTAGTTCTCAGTCTTTAGAGAATTGATAAAGTACAAAAACTCATTTTTAAATTATAAAATGTGACATAAATGCTAGCTACCATTCTACAAGAATTGGAAAGACCTTATAAGAGACCTTGTCCAAAGTGACCATTTTATGGATTATGGAGATTTACTAAGGGCTTCCCTTGTGGCTCAGCCAGTAAAGAATCCACCTGCAATGCGGGAGACCTGGGTTCAATCCCTGGGTTGGGAAGATCCCCTGGAAATGGAAATGGCAACCTACTCCAGTATTCTCACCTGGAAAATCCCAGGGACAGAGAAGCCTGGTAGTCTACAGTTCATGGGGTCGCAAAGAGTTGGACACGACCGAGCAACTTCACTTCACTGAAGGTCACACAGTTTGTAGGTGGCAGAGCCAGAGCAAAGACTCGGGATTACCTGCTGCCTGGACTCGACGGGAAGCACAGGTTTGTAACATCTGAATTCCACAATTATATATATATATATTCAATTCTACACCATTTTCCTTCACTTTTCCTACAATTCACTTCCAAACTGTGCTTCTGAGGGTGCAATATTTCAGCCTCCTAGTGGATAGAAGTTTGTGCTACAGTTGACAAAACTGGCAACCCTCTTGGTACTTCCCCTTAACCAAGTACTCTATTCCTGCACTCAAAGATGGGTTCCAATTTGAAATCTATGAGAGGTCTAGAGCAAGCCAGACATAACTGGGGATAGGAGAGAAAGAAAACGGCAAATGAAGGGGAAAGTGGGGAAGGTGGTACAGGCTGAAGGGCAGGGAAGAAGGAAACCGTGTTTTCCTGCGTTACGTGTCAGCATTGCTACTGTTCAACCAGAAAGCGATGGGCCTGGTGCCAAGGCTGGGGGAACACACCAGTCCCACAACCCTGCAGTCACATCTCACCTCTTAGGATACTTGGTGAGGCTTCTGTCTCCTGACAATCATGTAATTCAGTGAGGTCCCCCTCCTCACTGGTGATAAGAGCTCAGCCAAATGCACCCCAACTACAGTCACCTCGGGGCAGCCTGGGGGCTGCTCCCCTGGGCTGCACTTCTCACATCTTCCTTATTAACACTTTGTCTAGATGACTTCTGCCATCAGAAACTGCAAAACTTTTAGGAAAGAGGAAAAGTAAAATAAAATCAATGAGCAATCAAACATCAAAGTAAATACATCGAATTTACCAAAAAAGGAGGGAACAGAAAAGGCAGAGCTTCTCTAAGGATGGCGCTTTCAGACCGGAAGGGTTATCATACCTCCATGTTATCAGAAAGTATCGAGTTATTATTTTAACTCTAAACTTACCAACGGTGTCACAAGGTTCATCTTTGTGTACGCAGAAATCTGTCCTAAAAAAATTTTTAAAAAGACAAAGTCAGCTGTGTGCAGTTACCTCCAAAAACGGGAGAAGAAAACATGTCAATTAATTTTGATTACTCATCTTGCCAATAACAAAGTTATTACTTTGTCATGGATTATAATGAAAAATAATAACTAGCAGTGTTTTTGTTTGCCAAGATTAACCACATTTCCAACTGGTAGGCCCAGTAACCCCACATAAGACCCTCTTTTCATAGCTAAACTATTTCACACATAACACTTAGGTGCTGGAAAGTCTCCATCCAATGCTGAAAGTTGCAGAAGAAGATGCTTACCAAGTCATCTATCAGAGATAATTATTTGTCAATATCATCACACTATAGTGACTTTCTAATTTACTCTACTTGGGCAGGAACTAGTTTTAGATGCTTGAATGACCATATATCACTTACATGAGAACATAACAAAAAAGTCATTTCTAAAAGTTATATTTTGGGACTTCCCTGGTGGTTCAGATGGTCAAGAATATGCCTGCAATGCAGGAGACCCAGGTTCAACCCCTGGTTGGGAAGATCCCCCAGAGAAGGGAATGGCAACCCACTCCAGTATCCTTGCCTGGAGAATCCCACGGACAGAGGAGCCTGGAGGGCTACAGTCCATGGGGTCACAATGAGTTGGACACGACTGAGCTGCTAACACACTGGGGGTCCAGTGGCTAAGACTCCACACTCCCAATGCAGGGGGCTGGGGTTCAATTCCTGGTCAGGGAATGAAGATCCCACATACTGTGTGGCACAAACTTAAAAAAAAGTTATATTCTTTCAAGCTCCCTAGGATCTCCCCAGTGTGTGGCTGTGGACAAATGAAATGGCAAAGATGCTCGAAATCTGGTGTAGCTCTGGTTCTGCATGTACAAGGGGCTCCGTCTGGGCCCTTCTTTCTGCCCACAGGTGGAAGCTAACCAGAGCACTGGCTGAGGAGGTATCCTGCCCAAGATGCAGCGAGAACAGCAGGGTGTGGCCCCACGGTCATCCTATCATGGGGACCCATGGGAGCTGGGAGAAATCACCCCCTCATCTGTAGCTCTCTAAACGCTCCAGTGAAGCTTCAGGCTGAAACATGTTCTAAGGCACCTCTTCTCATTCAACTTCAAAAAAATTCTCTGGGAAGAAAATCAGGGCCAGCCTGACGATAACGAAAGTGGCAGTCCTGCATGGGCTGTACAGCCCTTCCCTCTCTGAGAGTCCACCCCACTTCAGCATTCAATGTCCTCAATTTCTCCCATCTTCAGTCAAAAAATCTATTCTCAGGGAAGGGCTCTCCCACTCACACTGGGGATGATGACAAGAAGGCAATGTAATACCATCAGCTTTCGTTTTCCCTCCACTCCAACCCACAGCACATTCTGTCCTATTTATCTCCATAAAGTAACCTGGGCTTCCCAGGTGGTACAGTGGTGAAGAATCCGCCTGTCAATGCAGGAGATTCAACAGACACCGCTTCAATCCCTGATTCAGGAAGATCCCCTGGAGGAGGAAATGGCAACCCGCTCCAGTATCCTTGCCTGGAAAATCCCATGGACAGAGGAGTCTGGAGGGCTACAGTCCATGGGGTCACAAAGAGTCAGACACGACTGAATGACTGAGCACAGAACGGAACAATGTGACCCATGCCTACCACCTCTCAGCAATATGTGGCTGTCCACTTGAAAGGAGCGAAACCTGCGTGCTCCCAGCACCAGCTCTGCTTCAGGCTGGCTTGAAGGCTGTCACAGATCCAACCTACCCACTAGACCACAGAGTCCAGATCTGTAGGCGTGAAGATTCCACGTGGGGTTCTGAGGTACAGAACACCCTGGTCGAGGCCACTGCCTCAGGCCTGCCAGGCACCCCAGACACCCTGCGAGCTCAGAGGAAGGGGCAGCGGGTGGGTGCGGCAGCTTGGAGGGGAGGCCCTGAAGCTGGGCCCAAACAGTGGGGGGGAACTGGGCCAGGGCCCTCGGCAACCCACCTGAGTGCTGCTGACTGCACTTCTAAATCTTCACAATAAACACATATTTTGGTAATCAATTGTAAAATAGCTTTAGCAAAGGATAAAAGGAAGCCTTGAAGACCCCCATGCTTTTCACAACCCCCTCCAAAACCAAGGGAGCCTCCATGGAAATGGAGATGGAATAACCATAGGAAGACAAAGACTCGTGCCTTGATTTTTTCTGTCAAGGATGACTTTCAGAAGACTAACTACAGGCAATAGAGGATGGCAAGGAAGATGCATGGGCAGAGAGGAAACCAAATAAAATTAGGGACATAAATATATTCACTGGCCTCGTATTTAACTAACCCCAACCCAACTTTCTTGACCTGACACTCCCCACTGGAATGTTCTGAGCAAGTCACTCACATATACGCCCCCTCCACCCTGCCCCCCGCCCCCCAGACTGGCCTGAGACCTTGCTCCAGGGTTTCCCAGAGCAAGCAACTGTAAGCATCATCCCATTGCCTCTCTTGGGCAAGGGGAGAAAGGCTGTGTGGTCATTAGTCTCATAGGAGAGAACTGAACAGGTTGACAGGGCTGCTGAGGGAACTGGCCACACCACCTCCTCTCTGGCTCTCTGGCCAGCTCGGGGGTAGACGCTTAAAGGGCACAGTGTGTCCTCATCCCCCGGCTTCCCTGGAGGGAAACAGGTGGTCCCAAGTGATGAACCCTGCAGCAGCCCCTGCTGCTTCTCCCGAGGAGGTGGGTTCACAGGGAGCCAAGTTCAATTAGAGGCCTGCTTTGAAAGGGCCACCGAAATCTGCATCTTCTCTCCCCTTCCAGTTCAAGGTCCTTTCTCAGAAAAGGAAAGTAAAGCCATCCGCCTGCAGGGGAGGCTTCATCTCTAGGTTCTCTGCCTCCTACATGCCAGACCCACAAGTAGGGGCTGTGGGGGTCAAGAGAAATGGAAAAGAAAAAATAAAAAAGTGAGGGTCCCAGTGCAGCCCTCCAGTCTTTATGTCTGCTTACATTCACATTCCACTGTTTCTACCTCAAGAAAAGAAAGGCTGCATGGATCTACAGGCCAGGGCGGGCTCCACGGGTGTGTCAGCTGCACCGTCACACAGGCCCCTCACCCAGAGCCTCCCATCCCCCAACCTGCTTTAACACTCTGCTCTCAGTGTCTTGAAATTCTTAATAATTTTTAACATGGGGCCCATGCTTTCATTCTGCACTAGGCACAGGTTACATAGCTAATTCTGTACATCACCTATGGCCTGGCGTACAGTTGGGGTTTAATAAATACTGACTCCTTTACTAAACGACTGGCATACATTTCCAGGCCACTTTCAACGTGCCTTATCAGCTCCCTGGCGGCCTCACCTCTTCCCAGTGTTTAAAAATGTAACGTATCCGCCGATCTCTCCCAGGAACAGGACCAAAGGCTGAGAGAAGACCAGCCTGGGGCTGGGCAGGGACTGGGTGGAGTCACGTGGGAAGAGAAAGTGGATGGACGGCTGGACATGTCCCAGTGGCCACACTCCGGGCTGGCCACATGGTCCCTACAGCTATTTTCCAGGAGCACAGACCTGGGTCTCAGGGGTAAAACTCCAGGCTTTCTGGAGGAGGTGTGGAGCCATAGGCGAGGCCACGATAGGCATATAGCTCCCTGAAGGCCAGTCTGTGTGGGCCCCGCCTGGCCCCTGGACTCAGTCTACTGAGACGTCCCTGGTGGCCCCACATGGCTGCAGCTGCTGGAGACACAGCGCCCGCAGCTCCTGTCTCAGCAGCTTCTGCTCGACGTGATGTCATGCTCCCTTCTCAGCAGCTGGCCATCTGTATGGCTGGTGGGCGTCCAGGAGGATACGTTCTCTGGCTCAGCCACAGCCCAGATGGAAAACAAAAGAAGAAACCACACCGGCAGCCCCAGGACCCGAGGACGCCGGCCCGTGCGGCCTCCAGGTAGACCTTTGGTCCAGATTCCTCTTGGGGGAAGGGCCGCTGGTCCACAGTGGCAGTTGCCTTGCACCCGGCTTCCCTGTGACGACATCAGCCCATCAGCATCCCAGCCCAGGGAACCGCAGCTCACAGCCTCTGATTTCTAAATGGTGCATCTCAGTCCTGTGGGCTTCCAGCCCCGGCTCCGTGGCTGCCACCCTGCCCTCGTAGGAGGTCTTCAGTGTAGCGTCTGTGAGGACCCAGGAGACGGGCAGCACCATTAGTTCAGTCCAGTGGCCCCCCGGAAGCAAGGGAGGCCAAAATTGCTTGGAAAGGAGAAAGACAACGCTGGCAGGGAGGAGACCTCTACGTCCCGTCTGCCTGCCGCTGAAGACACCTTGCCTTCCCAGGCCACCAGGTATCTTCCTTGCCAGCTCCCACAAACCGTCTGCCATCAGGACCACCCCCTCCAATGTGCTTAGTTAGAAAAGAACATTTTAAAAGATTTTTACTGTCATAAAATAAGTTTTACGACAGTAAAACTTACCATCTTACCCATTTTTAAGTATACAGTTCAGTTCTGCAGTGTCAGGTATATTCACATTGTTCTGCAACATCTCCAGAACTCTTGGAAGAGTGAAATTCCATACCCATTAAACACCTCCCTATTCCATGTTCCCCACAGCTCTTGGCCACTACCATTTCTGTCTAAATGAATTTAACTTTTCTAGGTATGTCATACAAGTAGGATCACAAAGGATTTGTCCTCTTAAGACTGACTTATTTCACTCAGCAAAATATATCCTCCAGGTTCATCTATGTGGTAACCAGTGTTAGAAGTTCCTTCCTTCTTAAGGCTGAATAATATTCCATTTGTTGGAATACAAACAGCAACAAACATCAGTCACCACATTTTGTTTATCCACTTCTCCATGATGGACACTTGGGCTGCTCCCACATTTTACTTATCATTAGTAATGCTGTTATGAATATAGGTGTGTGAATATTTCTTCAGAACTCTGCTCTCAACGCTTTTAGAAGTGGAATCGCTGGATCATATTTAATTTAATCATATTTAATTTTTTGAGGAACTGCCATACTGTTTTCCACAGTGGCCGCACCACTTTACATTCCTACCAACAGGGCACAAGAGTCCCAAGGCTTCCACATCCTCACCAATGCTTGTTCTGCTGTCTGGTGTTTTTTGTTTTAATAATAGGCATCCTAATGTGTGTGAGGTGGAAAGAAGAACATTTTTATGCAAAATATTTCCAGTACAGTAAATAAGCTATTGGGACATAGGAAAAAGAGAAAGGAGAAAGCTGAATGGGAAGCATTCTCAGGCTGAGAGTGCATTCAGTCTCTCTCTCACGGCGTTTTGTAAAAAGGCTAATCCAGAAGCTTTGTCAACACTAACTTTGGTAACATCTATTGCCTCTGATAAAAAGGCTACTTGTTCCCAAACCAAAGCCACTTGCAAGTATTTTCTCCCCAGGACAAGAAAGGAAACAGCAGGAAGGTGAATAACCAATATAGTAGAAATTCCCCTAGGTTATTTTTAAGAAAACACCAGAATTTATACATTTCATATAGTATTTATACAAACCACTTTCAAAGTAATAAACCTGGGAGTTTAGCTGCATATTCCAAAGTTGATATTATTTAGAGCTCCTTTCTAGGAAAAGTTTTTACTCCTCATCTAAATATCATTTGGAAAATCAATCACATTAATTTATAGTCACATAGAGACATGGTTCCCAAGGAACCATGCCTTCTCCCCAAATCAAACCCACTCTCAAAGACTGCAGCCATATACTCAGTACAATCCTCAGTGCTTTACCGAGTGCCCCAGAGGCTCCAAAAGCCATTTCAAAGAGCATGGACGCCTCTGATTAGTGAGTGTGGGGGCCAGAGCTGCTGGAAGAGACGGCATCCAGGGGTTCCCATCATTGACGGGGTGGGTAAAAGCAGCTTAAAGCAAGTACAAGGTCATGCTCACCCCTTGTCTTTGGTGCCTAGTAGACCATCAGCCACACGTAGGCAATTGAAATTTCTGAATAGACTTCCCAAGTGTCCCATTATACATTTAATCACATCCTGAAGAAGCAGCAAGTGTTCTCATAAGGGATCAGATCACATTTTAACCTTTAGGGTTCACAACTGATGAATCATCTACAAGTATGATTAGGTATCTCTTGGTGTCTCATGGTGGCAATGTGCATGTTCTAGGTTTTTTGAGGAGAAGGCTAGTGAGCTATAATACCTGGTAACTGGTGCCTGAGGCTGAGATCACAGAACGCATCTGGCTAACTTCAGGACATCATCAAGCCAGGGGCTTGTACGTGGCCCAAGGGATGCAAACCAAGAGCATTTCTGCTCATTCTGAGCATTTCTAAGTCTCAAACCAGATTTAACTCCTCTTAGAGGAGTAGGCTATCTTCATGCTAAAGATACAATAAACTGTTCCCTTTCTCTGAACTTAAAGGAAAAAGAAAGCATATAATTTTGAAAGTAGTTTCTTAAAAAAAAAAAAAATCTTAAAACCAAGGTTGATATATTCATTCAAAAAGTAAAACATTGTATTTTAACCTAATAGGTTAAATTGTCATGAACCATTTCCACATATTTTCTAAAAGGGGATTTTGGTGTGAACACATAATACATCTTATTTACATTACTGAGGTAAAACAATCAAGGAAAATCAGTTTTTCTAAGAGAGATTTGAGACATAGGAAAAAAATCAAATAGCCACATCTATACCTGCAGAGAGTTGAATTGTGTCCCCAAAAAGACACTTTCAAGTCCTAACCCCCAGTCCCTGTGAATGTGATCTTATTTGGAAAGAAAGTCACTGCAGCTCTAATCAAGTTGAGGTCACACTGCATTAGGCTGGGCCCCCATCCAGTGTCTGGTGTCCTTACAAGAAGAGGGAAACAGGGACATGGGGAGAGCATCACGGGACGGTGGGGGAGAGACTGGAGAGATGCATCCACAAGCCCAGGGATGCCCAGGACTGCGGCAGCCTCCTCAAGTTAGGGAGGAGGAAGGGTCCTCCCTCCTGAGCCTCCAAGAGAGCAAGGCCCTGCCCACACCTTGACTTCAGATTCCTGGCCTCCAAAACTGTGAGAAAATAAATTTCTGGTTTTTTGAAGCCACACACTTTGTGGTAGTTTGTTACTGCAGCCCTAGAAAACTAAAATAACATTGCAGCCATCTACACAGAGAGACACCTTTGATTACTACGGTCCAGCAGGGTCCCTGGCTTCCCTCTCAACCAGGAAGAGTGCATCCAGCTCTGCAGATGTGAAGCTCAGCTCCTGGCTTCAAATGGAGCCCCTCTGTGAGTGCCATGGCATCTCTGCCTGCTGCCGCGTCCTGAGAGTGCCCACAGACAGGGCTGTGCACGGCACACACATTCACCTGCACGGACTTCCTGCTGCCTTGCGCCAGTTCAGGGGCTTTAGTCGTGTCCTGCTCTTTATGACTCCATGGACTGCAGCTCGCCAGACTCCTCTGTCCACGGGATTCTCCAGGCAAGAATTACTGGAGAGGGTTGCCATGCCCTCCTCCAGAGGATCTTCTTGACCCAGGGATCGAACCCATGTCTCCTACATCTCCTACACTGCAGGTCAATTCTTAACCTGAGCCACTGGGGAGCATGGACTTCCCTCAACAGGAAAACTGGGGTATCCACTCCTTCCAGTAAGGAAGCAGCCTCATACACAGGTGAGCTCTTTCCAGTGAGCATTATATTTGGTGTTGCGAAGAGGTAAATTTCAAGACAAAATTTCCTGAAGTTTTAAGAGTCTTGGGTAACAAGAATTTCAGTAGTTTTATATTCATAACAGCAATAACAATAATAATAGCTAGTACTTTCATCCTTACTTTGAGCCACTGTAAGAGTGCTTCCCATGCTCATTTAATCCTCACATTTCAGAGACAGGGCTATCATTTATCCATATCTTACTGATGAGGAATTCAAGGTTCAGACAAGTGGCCAAAGGTCTGATTTCCAAGCCTGACTTTCTCTCCAACAGGAAATGCCTTCCCTCTCAAGTCTGCAGCTCCAGGCCGAGTCTGGCTTTACCTGGTCACGAATACAGCAGCATCCACGGGGGGCGTGTCGTCCTTGCCTCCTGGAACCTGGTTGTTGCCGAGGTACCGTGCACCTCCATACTCTTCATTCTGCCAGTGACAGAAGCTCTCCAGGGACCGCTCACCATGATGCCCAATGGACAACTTGGCCTAAAAGAAATCAGGGGGCAGTTATAGAAGCCACTTCCCAGGGAAGCCAGAGTTTATGCTCAGCCCACAGCGCGGATATTAAGGAAGAGACAGCTGCTCACAGGGCCATTATTCAGTGTCACCTGTCCACAGTGCCAGTAGGCAGATGTAGAGACCCAGAGGGACGCTACCGGGGCCTTACCTATAAGTTAGGATGAAGATATCTTACTAAAGAAAAGCTTTCTTCTTTTTAGCAAACTGAACAGCATACCCAACATTCTCATGTGCACTGCTTAACTCTTTAGGTAACACTTTCATAAGGAAATGCACTCAATCAAGACCAGAAAACGATGCTACAGGGCAAGCAAATTTGACCTGAAGTTTGGATAGAGCTCCAAAAGGCTAGCTATGATTCCAAAGACCTCAACATCAACTCTGCACTCGGGAGACATGGGAGAATGAAGGAGGGGGGACAAAGGCCCACTGCTCAGGGTTCCCCGAGATGCTGAGATGACGTGCATGCCAGCAGCAGTGCCTATCCTCCTCTCTCCAGGCATCCCCTGGTCCCTGGCCTAGGGCACACTGCTGCCATCTGCAAAGACAGGGAAAGAGGACAAAGGAAAACACCTGGACTCCTCCCTAGCATTCAACAGCCACTAAGGAGACTGAGGACCAGATACATTTTCTGTAACGGTGCTGATGGAGACTTACAGGGCGTTGTCGTAGCAGGACAAGCTTGGTAACCTGAATGTTGACTTTAATTCCAAGGCTCTGGTGCTGAAACATATTGTATACCTGTCAAGAGAGAAAAAAAGAAATGTAGAGAAATACAAATACAAAAATTTAAAAAAAAATAGCACTATCCTGAAACAAACAAAAGATACTAGATAAAAACTAAGGATATCTGAACAAACTATGGACTTGAGTTAATAATAATCAACAACATTGGCCCATTAGTTATAATAAACATATCATATTAATGTAGGATGTCAATAACAGGAGAAATTGTGTATGGGAATTCTATGTACTATCTGTCAATTTTTTAAATAAATCTAAAACACAAAATATAAATGCATGAAATATAAATGTATTCATTTATAAATTAATGAAATATAAATTATATTCATTAAAAGTTAATTACTTAAAAAATTTTTTAAACTGTGTTCTTACAGTACAAAAAAATCTAAATATATGATTTGCAATCATATATATATGTATGAAATTCAAATTTCAATGTTCATAGATATTTATTTGAACAAAAAATACATATATGTAAGATATAGAACCCAGATTTTATTTAAAAGGCCTTCTGAGACAAAAAAAAATTCCCATAAGTATAAATTCCTCAAAAGAAACTGGCATAACAGGAAACTCTGGCATCACATACATGTGAGGGCATACAAGCACACATGCAAAGACCAATTGGAAACAAGCTGGTTGAAAAAAATGCATAGGATGGGTGAATCTGAAAAAAAAGAAATGGTGTCAGTTGGTTCTGGTGTTTCCTGCAGGAGGGTGAAGAGGATCTTCATGACGGGATGGGCAGAGTCCGTGCCTGTGGCCTCTGCCACGCGCCAGTCTGCATCATCTCTAACCCTCATCACAACCCATCACAGGCAGTGTCTCCACCAACCTCGATTCAACGAAGTAAAGCCACTCGCTCAAGACTATCAGTCAACTATGACCACAATCCAAATCCAGCTTTATCCAGCTGTAAAAGCCACATTCCTTTCTACCCGAAGTCCTCATTCTAACCAAAGTTTGTCAGTGAGACACAGTAACAGAAACACCTATGCCCCCTTAATTCTGCACCTCTTGTTGGTAGAACTTAGTTACAGGGGTCTCAACATCAAGAAATTACAGAATCCAAGGGGAAGAAGGATAGGACAAGTCAAGTAAGACAGAAGAATGAAAGTTGATGTAGACAGAAAAAAACCCATTGGATTTGAGGACCCTCAGATCATGACAACCTCCTGAGCTCCTTCCCAGGAGAGAGCGGGATACAGGGAGGCAGAGTGGAGGAGGTGACCAAGGCAGTAGTATCAGACATAGAGGGGAAAGGTAAGAGCCTTTCAAACGTTCCCTTTTTCTTTTAAATGAGGGAAATACTTTTGTTTCATTATGCCCTTTTCCCAATGTTCAGTTCAGTTCAGTTCAGTCGCTCAGTCATGTCCGACTCTTTGTGACCCCATGAATCGCAGCACGCCAGGCCTCCCAGTCCATCACCAACTCCCAGCTTACTCAAACTCATGTCCAAGGAGTCGGTGATGCCATCCAGCCATCTCATCCTCTGTCATCCCCTTCTCCTCCTGCCCCCAATTTGTCCCAGCATCAGGGTCTTTTCCAACGAGTCAACTCTTCACATGAGGTGGCGAAAGTACTGGAGTTCCCAATGTTATTAATATATAATTGCCTTAGGTTCAGGTATACAACATGATGCTGATGCTGGGAAAGACTGAGGGCAGGAGGAGAAGGGAACAACAGAGGATGAGATGGTTGGATGGCATCACCGACTCAATGGACGTGGGTTTGTGCAAACTCCGGGAGGTGGTTAAGGACAGGGANGGAGAAGGGAACAACAGAGGATGAGATGGTTGGATGGCATCACCGACTCAATGGACGTGGGTTTGTGCAAACTCCGGGAGGTGGTTAAGGACAGGGAAGCCTGACGTGCTGCAGTCCATGGGGTCACAAAGAGTTGGACATGACTGAGCGACTGAATAACAATATAACATGATGATTATATATCCTATATACCACAGTATATATAATATAGTAAATATATACATATCTGAAAATGATTACCACAAAAAGTTTAGTTCATGTGCCTCACCCCATACAGTTACAACTGTTTTTCTTGCGAAAGAACTTTTAAGACCTACTCTTGTAGCAACTCTCTGGACTTTCCTGGTGGCTCAGATGGTAAAGAATCTGTCTGCAATGTGGGAGACCCAGGTTCAATCCCTGGGTCAGAAAGATCCCCTGCAGAAGGGAATGGCAACTCACTTCAATATTCTTGCCTGGAGAATTCCATGGACAGAGGAGTCTGGCAGGCTACGGTCCATAGGGTCACAAAGAGTCAGACAAAACTGAGAGACTTTCACTCTTAGCAGCTTTCAAATATATGATACTATAGTACAGTTAACTATAGTCACCATGCTGTACATTACATCCCCAGGACTTATTTATCTTACAACTAAAAGCCGTACCTTTGAGCACCTCCACCCATATCCCTGCTCTCAGCCTTTGGGAACCACCAATCTGTTCTCTGTATCTATAAGTTCAGTTTTGTTTTTTTTTTTTTTAGATTCCACTTATAAATGAGATCATACTGTATCTGTTTCTAACTTACTTCACTTGATTTTGAATATGCTACTTTTTTTCTGATAGACATAATCTAGAGGGAGAATTTTTCAGCAGGGGCATTAAAACTTTCTCTCCAGTACATCAGCAGCAACATAAAGCAACGGCTACTGCCAATAGCATGGCCACAGCTAATCCAGGCCTCATGAAGCTGGACACACCACTGGGCAGAGAAGCAGCAGAAACCAGGCACGCAGTGTTCAAGCATCTGTGCGACAAAGGAATTAGCTGCGTCAGTGCTTGGATTTTTCTCTTTGAAAACTATTATGAAAGCAAAACAATCTTTGTGTAATTTAATATTCTTTCCCACAAGGAAAAAGACAACATATTCAGTTCTTCTGTTCTCACTCCCTCCTTCCAAAACTTTCTCTTTCCTTAAGAACAAAATTGCAGTCATTTTTAAAATTCTGGATCATCTGTAGGCCAATTCTTAAGTCATGCCTTAGCTACCTATCCACAAACCTGGATGAAGAAGAGAAAAGCACATAACTTTTTCCTTGTTTTGATATTCTGAGAACCACCCAATGGCTATAAATCAAATTTTTCCAGAAATATTCAGCCTTAGGATTGGGCCCAAACTGGAAAACCTCAATTCAAAACATGAAAACTGGGAAGAATAAAAACTTTAAATTATGAGGGAGAAAATTCAAGTCACACAGGGTTTCAAAGCACAATCGAAATATTGCCTGTAATAGTAACACCAGCCAAAGACATTAAAGAATACTGCAGGTTTAAAGGAACAACACAGGAAACCAGTTCTCAGAGTGTTCTGACACACCCCCTGAAAGCTGCATTAAGAATGGAGCCTGAATGGAATGATGCAGGTTTCAGCAAGGACAGAACCACAGGGACAAACTCCCTCCTCAGAATTGATGTGTTTTTCCTCTCCACCTGAGGACAGCTCGGCACATTCCGTATAAGGCTCAGGTGCCGTCCTTGGAACAAATACACAAAAAAATACGTGAACTGGAGCGGGAGAAAAGCTTGATGCTCCAGGAGCTGAGATGGAGGGCAAGACAGGGGACTTGTTTAAGGAGCTTGGAGTTTCAGTCTTGCCAAGTAACAAAGTTCTGAGGTTTGGTTGCTCAACAATGTGAATAAATGTAACAATCCTGAACTGCACACTTAATGACTAAATTGGTAAATTCAGCTATGTGCATTTTACCAAATTAAAACTTTTTCATTAGCTAACTTAAGGTAAGAAGCCTCATGCTCTAAAGATCCTCACTAGGAAGCCTGCTGGAAGCTATCCGCCTTGATGTGTAACCGGGAGGCCCACGTTCAGGAGAGCGGGTATGGTAACCTGATCGTGGTCAAAGCGTCTTGTCCCAGGGGCAGACCACACTCCCACAAAGTCGGGCAGACATGCGCTCTCCCTCGGGGGCTGGGGTCAAGGCAGGCTGGCTAGCTGAAAATGCAGCGGCAGCCCCAGAACACAAAGCAGCAGGCCTCAGAGACGTGTAGCAAAGGCCGCCTGTCTCCCTCACCCGTGTGGAAATATTCTGGAGCCCACCCCAGACCCAGTGCATCATCAGACAGCCTAGGGGGCAAGCTGTCTGCATCCACCAAGGCCCCCAGCATCCCTGGGCTGTGGGAACCAGTGAGCCCTCGAACACGCCACCGGTCTCTGCTCACCAGAGACAGGCTAGTTGTATGTTTCATATGGTAATTGAGTCAAATTGATGTCATTTTTCCTCCAAACAGAACTCGCCTGGAATGTCTCAGGTTTTCGTTCCACTCTGTGGTTGTTAAGGAAGCTAAAAACAACCAAAGCTCTGTCAAGTGGCCCCATTTTCCAGTTTGGCTGCCCAGACCCAGGGCTTCAAGTGTCAGCACCACCTGTTTCCGTCTGCAATTTGTTCTTTAAACTATTCCTGCTGCAGTGTCACCACCACCCCCAAGCAAAGGAAAGCAAGTCACGCATATAACAAGGCACTACAGCACCTCTAGAAAATCAGCCAGATCTTCAGATCACTCAGGGCATGGGCTGCAGCTTGCTGACAGCTCAGAGATCCAGGACCGGGCGAAGTGTCTCTCTCGACACGTAACCGCACAGGTAAGCGTACTTGCAACGGGGAGAGGACTACTGGAACACATAGCCCAGTGGGACTATCTCCCTCTCAGCCAGGAGGGAGGGATCTTTGAAGACACCACTGAGCCCTGCAGCAGCTTTCCAGCTGACTCACAGCGAAGCTGAGCGCCAGGGCCCCACACCCTGCCCTCCCGCCATCCACAGAAGCACCTCTCCCACTGCCTCCCGGATGCCAGGATGACCCTGCCGGCTGGCTCCTTATGTCAGGGTGATGCCTCCCCTTCTCAGCAGAGGGTCAGTCATCACAGAGGTGTCCTCAGCTACCCTGGTCACTTGCTATCACCTGGGTCTTTGTGTAGCATTTTTTAAATTTGCACAAATTTTACTGAGCCGTCTGTTG